GACCGTAGCAGAAATGAGGCAGAAACTGGGCAGGAGCTTAAGCTGACAAACGCACTTTCATAAACACACAAAAGAAATAAAAAGAAGTGTATAGTCAAACAAAATAGTTTCATGTCACCCCCCAAGGCAGATACATACACTGCGCTCCACTGTTAATACGAACACGAAAAAAATCGATTTTATTTGCAGTTTATTTCTTTGACAACTATTGAAAAAGCTGAAAATTTGTCGCTCAGATTAGTGCTCCAAACGAGCGCTTTATTCCACACCAATAGGCAAATGTCAGCCCCTCAAATTTAAGGTGAAAAATGAAATCAGGATATTGAATGCTCCCGCTAACAGTGTCCTGCAGTGTAGATAAACACGAAGGCACCAGATCACAAACCGAAGCACACGAAGAAGAAAAAACTCCTTTCATTGGGAAAAAAAGTAGAGATATAAATAGAGCACTCGCTTTCGCTAATTTTCACTGTCTTGCTGCCTGAAATAAACAAACAAAATATATGTCCGTTTGCCGACTGCTTTAGTCTTTGGTCTTTAACCTTTAAGTTTTGGCTCTGGAGAGCCGCGGCACCGCGGAAAGCAGCAGCCCGTACCACCGAGGCCCGCGGTGCCGCGTCTAGTAAACATGGTAATGTGATGAGTATATACGTGCAAGATGACGACGACATGGGTTGTTGTTATTGGCGAGGGTGGCAGTCCGATTCGCAGAAGTCCAGACTTCATTGAGGCGGGTTGGGCGGGTGAGCAGCGAGCTATGAGGATCTTGCACGCCGTTCGATCAGTGCATGAAGGAGCACCAGGAACATAATGGCGCTATTGCTCACTGGGGTCCACTGGGGTCAAAGAATCATGCTCCAAGGAGGTAGTCCAGACTCCAGCCGAAGTAGAAGCTGCCGCCTCCGAGGAACCGAGGCTCAGGGCTCAGATTGAGACACCGCCGTCGCCCGGTGTGCCATCCTCTCAACGTCGTCGTCGTCATCTCGCATAGAAAAATCGAGCCGGCTGGCTTAGACAAGGCAGCACCGTTCAGGGGCCGTGAAAAGATTGCGGCCAGCGATTTCTCGAAGCAGTCAGAGGTTCTTGACTACCGTGAAACGTTTTCTGGGGGCGCCTTTTCAAACAAAGTCTGCGGAGCTTCTTAGTGTAGCGA